CATCATCATCATCATCATCATCATCATCATCATCATCATCAACATCATAATCATCATCATCTTCATCCTCTTCATCATCATCATCGTCATCATCATCTTCATTCGAATCATCAGCATCATGTGTTGCATCATCATCATCATTTTCTTGATGGTACAGATCGGGCACTTTTTCTAGTGATAGAAGTCCTCTTGTACAGCTAACCATGCGCACGAAGCAGGCCAAAATGCGAACAAAATTTTCTATTCTGTTGGTAACAATTTTCGCTGAACAGGCTATTTCAATTTGTCTACCTGGTGTTTGTTGTTAGGGTAAACTCTGTTACCTAAACTCGCAGGTAATACTGGATCTCATTTACTCTCCCCTCTTCACTAAATTTCATATTTCAGTCATCGTTCTATCCCGGAATCTGAAGACTCAAGCTAGACCCAAGGGGACCCAGTCTCAACTGTGCTCTATCCGTTATATTCTTCAGCAATTATTTTATCAACTTTCTCTAAAAGTGAGTTCATTCTCACCAGAAAACTAACAACACTACTCAATGAATTTTGTCTGATTTTCCAAATGATTCCTTCCGAGTATATACTATTGTTGCTGAGCTCAGTTGGGCAAGCAAAAGAACTGTCCACTCCATACCCACGGAACATGTCAAATTGCTGGCACAATGAACTGCATGCAACCGTGTCCGCAGGCACCCGAGATGAGAAATTAGAAATATTTATGTACAAAGGAAATGCTTTTGATAACCGACAAAGAACACTGAACAGTTGTTTCATCCTGTTTGAGACTCAAGTCAAGTTGAGTCAAGTCAAGTCACGGAATGGCTTTATACACCTCGAGAGGTGGATATTCAACAACCACATAACCGCAGTGTGTCAACAAAAAGTGAAAAAAACATCATAATACAACAATTAAAGGACGTGAAAAAGGACAGTAACATCAAAAACCAATGGCACACCCAGGTGTTTATGATTGATTTAGTTTAGCGTTTGGCACAGATTTCCTGCAAAGAGTTCATGGTTTGGTAGAAATTTGGCTAGATAAGGGACAATAGATCGCCTGTAAGCTTCAGTGCGTGTCTTTATAAGTTTGTGAATGGAACGGGTGGATGAATGAGAAAGGCACTGACTAAGGGCGGAATAAAGAGGATGGGAAATATCAGATAAAATCTTGTTGGAGAATGTTTTACAGGTACCAGGTACCAGATGTTCCGGTGGTATGAGGCTACAAACTGACAGAAATTTGAGGGATCGTGAAATGAGTTTGAGGTCTTTGAGCAAAAGACCGGGGCAGATAACCGGGGACCCATAAAGCCAGTGAGGCAAAACACACGCAAAAACAAAACGCCTTGTGAACTGGTTTGGGATGAAAAGTGATTTATTAGGTAAAACACAAAACGTAAGCCTCCTGACCTTCAGAAAAACGTCATTAACGTGGTCAGACCAGGTGAGGTTATGGTTGAAAATAACGCCAAGGTATTTGACAGATGGCTGTCATTCCATCTGGTCACTGAGTATAGATAAAGGCGGGTTGGCATTTAACAATTTATCATACTTTTGCCCTTTCGAAAAGGAAAAAATTACGCCATTACATGTTTGGGGGTTCGTGCGGAGGCTCCTTCGTTGAGATCATCTAGCTATTTCAGACATGTCTTCTTGTAGAGTGGTTTGAAATAATGAGTTGGGGTTGGGCAGTCTGAATACTACATCATTTGAATACTTAACGAGAAGAGAAGAGTTGCTCACAGGCATATCGGATATGTAAGCAGAAAATATAAAAGGGGATAAAATAGTCCCTTACAGTACGCCTTGTCAAGAGGGTATCAGTGAGAACGTACGACCTTTGTAGCGTGTGAACTGCTGACGGTTGGAGAAATAGTTGGCCAAGAGTTCAATCGTAGAAGGTTGAACTCCACCCGAATAGAGGGTATTCAGCAAAGTTTGTCGATCAATTGTGTTAAAAGGATCACTGTAGTGAAGAAAACGTATGCGTACAGCTTTTCTTTTCTTATTCAGGTTGAATAAAACAAAGTGGCATAGGTAGGCAAGGGCATCCAGGGTCCCGCGGGGATGGGTGTAAGCAAACTGGTTCGGGTCAACAATATTGAATTGTGTGGGGCAGGGTCTTAATGAGGAGCCTCTCAAACACCGTCAAAAAAACTGAGTTGCAGGTAATGGGACGGAATTTTGAGGTGCCTTTCCTCGGTACAGAAATGATAGAGACTATTCTCCAGCCGTCGGGTATACGTTGCTGCGAAATACAATCATTTTAAAGTTCACTCAGTACAGGGAAAAGGAAGGCAGTACATTCTTTCAGGACAGCGGGTGAGACTCCGTCGGGGCCGAAGGACTCGTGAGGATTTAATTGAACCAACTCTTGATAAATATCGACAGGTGCAACGCTGGAGACGGAATCAGTGGTGTTTATTTCATATCCATTAGGTAGAGCAGTGAGAGCGATTTCACGGTTGATGAAACTCTGATTCAGACCATCTATGACCACCGCAGCAAGTGAGCGGTGTGAGGATTTGATGCCAGAAATTCGCATGAGAGATTACCAGGTCTCACGACTACCTTTGTTGTCAAGCCGAGTACGGGTGTAGAGAAAGTTTAGCCTTCGAAGTCCAGTCCGGATAGATTTAGAAAGGGAACGTACCTCGTCTCGCTTATGCATTTTGAAGGCACCCTCTTTTCTACGACGTGGTTGTTATAGGCGTTGAGCGAATATAAACTGTCTCTGAGGAACAAGAAACATCTTAAAAAAAGTTTAAGTTACTTGTTAATTGATCACAGAAAACGGAAGTGTTGGGATCAGAAAACAAAATAAGATTTGAGTATCTGATCATTTCCCCCCAACATTGTGAGGTTTTCTGGAGAACGCTGTCTTACTTATAGCCTATGATCACGAGTAAAGAGACGATGGTTCGCTCTGCTAAAGATGGTTGAGGAAAACTTCAACACAGAATGATCAGACATTCCCAGTGGAGAGCGGCGTTGTACAATAAGTAAGTTGGGAAGGTTGATAAAACCCAAATTCAGATGTGCATCAAGCCTAGTGGGTATCGGAATTATTGAAATCACCACAAATTATACAGACTGAAGTATTTACATATTCAATCAGTTGAAAGGGAGCCGTAAAAATCGTTAATAACACTAGCTGAATACGACGGAGCTCTACACACATTTATAAGAATAAGTGACCGAGAGAAACTGAAATGTTTGGGCGTACGTTGAATTACTGATGCGTTTATATAACGTGTGGAATAAGAAAACACATTTTTGGTCAGATGAC